CCAATGAGCACTATTAGATTATGATTCCTTTCACACTTTTCATGACACCTGTGCCATTTCATTTTTAAGCAAAAGGTACTGATGAGAATCCTTTAGGTCTAGCACCAAAAACAGGGATTCTGAACCTTGGCTACATATTATTACTATCTAACAAGCCTTAAAGAAATGCCAGTGTCTAGGCCAGTGATGGCGAGCCTATGACACGCGTGTTAGAGGTGACACGCGAACTCATTTTTTTGGTTGATTTTTCTTTGTTAAATGGCATTTAAATATATAAAATAAATATCAAAAAATATAAATCTTTGTTTTACTATGGCTGCAAATATCAAAAAATTTCTATATGTGACACAGCACCAGAGTTAAGTTAGGGTTTTTCAAAATGCTGACACGCCAAGCTCAAAAGGTTCGCCATCACTGGTCTAGGCCCTATTCTCTGAAATCCCTATATAATTGGCCTGGCTGGGACCCTGACACTTTTTAAAAATCTTATCTCAGTAAATGTACTGATCTAAAAGAAGGTAAACATATTCCTCACATACTAAATTGAATCAAGAAGTTTTTAAGAGCTGTCTTGAACTAAAAACTACCTAATACTATTTCAACTGAAAATGTTTAAAATTCCAGACAACTAAATTAAAAATTAATTTTAGAGCATACTTATTTAAAGTTCAGGAAAAAAACTAACATTGATGCCAATTAAAATGATCAAAATATACCAAAGTATCTACTAGAATTAATCATTGTTCAGTGTTCAGAGAAAGATAAATGCAGAAAATAACATAAGCTAAGAAAAGGGAAAGGAATTAGGGAAAACAACATGTACATAAGAAAGCTGCAACTGACAAAAACAGAAGATGCACATTGCAAAGGAGTAGGAAATAGCCCTGATTGGCATTCAACAAGCTTTCATTTCCTCCCCTGAAGTAGGTATTATTCCTCCCATTCCAGATAAAACATGGAGGCTCTGAAAAGCTCAAATTCCAGAGCCAAATGGAGCCTGGAATCAGACTCAGGCCAATATGACTTTGAAGCCCACACCCTATCCATCATATTACACTGCTTCACAACAAAACAGGGAAGGATAGAGAGAACAAATTCAAGGGCATTAAATGGCACAACATACTAAAAAATTAGAGGAGTTCACTGAAGGCTTATAAGCCTGGAAATGAAGTTGGGGGCAAAATGGCATTCCAGAAGATTATCCTGCCAGTAAACAAGATGGATTAAGAGAGAGAGGTTAGCAGGCTCCAGGAGGCCACTCCTCCAGCTGCCTCCAAGAGGACTGAGCTTTGCCAATGACTGTAAATCCAAATAAATACCCAGCTTTCTAAACAGCCTGTTGCCAATAGAAGCCCTAGAATGAACCCCTGGGGGAGTGGGGGGAGGGAGGGAGGGAGGGAAGTGAGGGAGGGAGGGAGAGAGAGGGGGAGGGAGGGAGACACGGTGTTAGAGAAAAGGAGACCACTGACTGCTTCATAGTGAACCATGTGACTTAGAACTGTGAAAGTACTGCATTCTCTACTAGTTTCACAAGTTACAGTGGGGCCTTGACTTACGAGTGTCCCGACTAACGAGTTTTTTGAGATACGAGCCATCTCTTGGCGGATTTTTTGCTTTGAGTTGTGAGCTAAAATTCGGGTTACAAGCCAGCTTCAGATACCCCACCGCTAGTTGGCGCAGCGAACTTCACAGTGAATGCCACAACATCAGCCCAGCATCACGTGTCTCACTTGTTCACTTTTTGATTTGACATACGAGTAATTTGAGTTACGAGCTCCGTCACGGAACTAATTAAACTCATTAAACTCGTAAGTCAAGGCCCCACTGTACTTGACTTTTCAATGCTTTAAGGCAGCGGTTCTCAACCTGTGGGTCATGACCCCTTTGGCGGTCGAATGACCCTTTCACAGGGGTCGCCTAAGACCATCCTGCATATCAGATATTTACATTACGATTCATAACAGTAGCAACATTACAGTTATGAAGTAGCAACGAAAATAATTTTATGGTTGAGTCACAACATGAAGAACTGTATTTAAAGGGCCAGAAGGGTGAGAACCACTGCTTTAAGGATACTTCTTTTATAAGACCCACCATACTGTATTAAAAACTTAGGAGATTCTTGATTGTCCATTGTAGTTATAAAATAACTAAAATTACATAAGTTAGACAAAATACCAGATGTTTGCTTATACATAATATTTACAAATCTAAATCTTATTTCATTATCTACATGGAAGTTAGAGTCCTAATTGGCCAGCCTCTTTCCAGTCTTTTACTCTCCATTTCACCCTTAAAAAAAGACAATCAATTCACTTTGCTAATACCTCATTCATATCTGAAGTTTCCCTAATCAAGAATCCAAATAGTTTCTTATTCTCTGCCCTCCATATGCTCCCTCTATCATTTCACTTAACCTCCTGTTCTCTCCAAAAGGATTAATGTCAGCCTCATCGCTCTGCCACAGAAAAACACACACTAACCTGGAGTTGTTTGACATAGTTCCCAAACTGGAATACCTCTTTCCATTCTCTCATTCAACTTCAAACCTTCCATCAAAGGCTCAGTTCAAAATCTATTAGTCTCCACAATGCCCACTTCTACACCCAACAACACTTACAACAGAATCCAAACTGTTGACTGATAGGCCACATGTGACTGATAGGCCCAAGTTTTGTGTTGTGGTATGTATTTTTTTTAATGAAATTTTATCCCATTGACAAAACTTAAAAATGGGAGATATCACTTTAAAAAACAACAACTGCATTTCCAACTTTTCTTGAAAAAACTGGATGCTATGGAAACACTGGGATCACACAGTCACAATGAGCTGTACCTGAGTAGCAGATGACCCTCTTTGAACGGCTCTTAGATGTAAAGTCTGGAAATAACAGTCCACTGCCTGATTTATGGGACTGTACCTGGAGCATTGCAATCATACAGAAATACCTGACTGTCTATCAAGCACTAGAGCAGTGGTTCCCAAACTTATTTGGCCTACCGCCCCCTTTCCAGAAAAAATATTACTCAGCCCCTGGAAATTAATTTTTTTTAAATTTTAATAGCAGTTACTCATCGCCCCCAAATGCACCTGTGGCCATCACCGCCCCCCTGGATCGCTGCAGCGCCCACCGGGGGGCGGTAGCGCCCACTTTGGGAATCACTGCACTAGAGTTACAAAAATACAGCCTCTCCCCCACAACCTACCTTAGTGGAAAAGGCAGAGAGACAAGCAATTAGGATACATGAGATAAGGGCAATGATAAGGGAGGTAAAGGGCGCTTAAGGCATGGCTAGGGTATCCAACTCTGTCCATGGGAAGTCAGGGAACACCCCTCAGAGAAAGTGATCTTTAGCAGTCACCGAAATTATCCAGAAAGAGATCGGGGAAAACAAAATGCCAGAGAGAGAGAGAGAGAGAGAGAGAGAGAAGAAAAGTATTTGAGAGTTACATCAGTTCAACATAGCTACAGCCATCACCCAACCTCAAAAGCAACTGTCAGAGTAAAGCTCAATTGAAAGGGCTGGAGGGGAAAGGCCAAGTGTGAGTTAAAGTCAAGAGATGAAGTAGAATTTCCATAAAGTGACTGACTATGTAAAAAAGAGTTGGCTAAGCAGGGAATAGAGGTTTCAGAGAGCACAGCTGTGCTGAGAGGTGAAATGCAGAAATAAAAAGGAGAGAGCAGCAGGGACAGTCTAAACCACGGGAGGGGAAGCACCAAGCAGCACGGGGACGGGGGCGGAGGAGACCGAAGGGGCTTACATCTCGGGCGGTAACCAAGGATAACGGGGATGTGAAGCATGGCAGTTTTGGCTGGCCACAAGTTTGCCAAGAGAATGAGTCCCGGCGGTCCCCGGGGGGACGCGGAGGCATGCGGGCCTCTCAAAAGGCAGCTGTGTTCTGGCTGGGTCGCACCTCGGGCGCTCTGTGCGGCATCGGCTTCCGTCCGGATCGTGCCGGCTCCGGGAAAGGCTCTGGGCTCCAGGCTGCTGCCACGCAGGCTCCCATGGAGTGGTGAGAGGCCTGGTCTGTGTGTGCTGGTGGGTAGAAGTTTAGTATAAACTACCTTGTATTGTTTTCTGATTTTTCTGTAGGAATGCTGGGCCTGTATACATCCTCTTAGGAAAAAAAGCAGTGGTGTGCCCATTATAGATTGATTGACACAGGAAGGAAAAAAAGGTGCCGAGAAGTTCAACATCTGTCCATACCAGTACTCAAGGTGAGTCATTCCCGAATCCAAGTCTCCCCAACTGGATTAAGATATCCGCCAGCGGGGTGTGGGGGAATAAAAAAAAATGCCTGTTTTTTGCACTTTTTTTTTTTGTAGCTCTCAAAAATGCCTAATACCGAAGTGGATGCGTCCAACACATTCAGTAAAATTTACCGACTTCCTAACATTTCTGGGGTCATTGAAGTGACCCCGTTCAGTACCCTTCTTGCAGACTAAGGCGCTCAAGAGACGCAAACTGTAGCTCAGACTTAACACTTTGCTTTTTTTTCCAAACTCCACTGTGTCTGTCCACCCTCCACCGCAGAGGCACAGCTGCTCCCCGATTCCA